ATGTAGTGCGTAGTACTTTTTATACCGCTGCCCTGATGATCTTTCTGCTGCACTCTAATTCTTTCACTGTCTTCCCAGCACTTTTGCCTGATATAATTCAAATATGTACTGCTGCTCTACAACAAAATTCGGATGCCTGTGGACATTTCAAAGATTTCATTTTTTTTTGTAAATTAGTCAATGTGGAAGATGTGAAGCAGAAAGCACACGATAAATCACTTTCGTATATGGTTTTCACGAAATCTTTAGGGACGACTACTGCAAGTACACTGAGCCAAAAACGGCAGGACAGTATACAAAAGTGCTCACTGAGCCATGGAAACTGCAGAAGTTTTGCTGCCAAATGAGAACAGTTCATGTTCATCTTCTGGGGAGTCTGCGTGTAGAAGGGGGGGAGGAGGTAAACAGACGAGTAGGAAAGAATGAAATTTACCATATTTATTTCGTTAGCCTGGTGGGCTATGAAAATTCGCTCTTTTAGATTGGTCAAACGTTAGCATACAATATTTTCTCATTTACAAGTGAAATAATAAATGGCTTGCAGACAAATCTCACAATAATTTAGAGCATAACAGATTCCTTAAACCAGAACCGATTCCGACACTAAAGGCAAGAGTAAGCTCATGCGCATGTCAAGCTAGCTGCATGGTATATCTTTGCACGGAAGGTGTTGATGGCAATGGCTTCACAGCCGCCGGTGGTCACTCACTCGGTACAGATGAGCAGGCCTGAAATGCTTCAGGGTGCCTTTGGGGTAGTGAGGGGTGCCACAGTAGTATGTTTATCGCCTTTAATACCCTTTCTACAAGTGATACTTCCTGATCGCCACTCGATAAAACTTTCGGGATGCCAGTACTATGCGTGGAGCCAGTTTCGCGCTTTTCCACCACTCTATCTCCGCTGGCGCAGTCACAAATGCAGAAAACACAATGAAAGCAGTTTTATCGTGCACGATGGATACGCGAGACAAGGCAGAAGAGGCCTGCGACTGCATGGAAAAGCAGGACAGGAGGCAATTCACAACAGATATCTCTCGCATACCAACCAATTGAGAGCTTGTTTTATCCTGACGTCAAGTGAGTAAACTGCTGGCTTCACGTATTGTGCCGTAAAGACGGGAAGCGCAAGGAGGGAATAACGGGCTCGATAACGGTCTTTTTAGAGGCTGTTTACGGGCCCTTTAAAGCTGTGTTGCCTAAACCTATCTCTTAGGTGGTAGGTCTCTTTTTAGTGATCCTATAATGTTACTTTAAGCACAGTCATACTTCAACTTGGGTGGACGATGTACCAAACTTAATTCAGTTGGGCGGCACTGACTATGCCGTGGTGGTCAGAGTTTTGTCTGCTGTGACTTGACCTGCACATCGAAACGACGTTGTCGTAACCTCAACGCCGCACGAAACGCTTTCACTGAACACCGCGAAAAGATGGACCACTGCATCAATTTTGATGACGCCCGGGTAATCGAAAAGGAGGGTAGTCACACAAAAAGACAGTTTTCAGAGCCCTGGCACATGCAAACAAGTCCTGTAAATGCTAACAGCTCAAGTGAAACATTACCCAGTGTATACATGCACGGTCTTCTTCCCTACCTTTGCATTAAAGTCGCCCATCACTATAGTATACTGTGTTTTTACCTTACTCAATGCCGATTCCACGTCTTCATAGAAGCTTTCAACTGAAGCTTTCAACTGAAGCGTTTCAACCTTAGCGTAGATACAATGAATGATAATCTGACGAGTATCATTATGGAGTGTGCAGTGGAAGTTGGAGGCAGGGTAGTTAGACAGGACACTGGCAAGCTTTCACACGAAACGAAGAACCTAATTAAGAAGCGTCAAATCATGAAAGTGTCAAGTACAACAGACAAAATAGAACTGGCAGAGCTTTCGAAGTTGATTAATAGACGTAAAGTATGCGATGTAAGAAGGTATAACATGGAGAGAATTGAACACGCTCTAAAAAACGGAGGAAGTGTCAAAGCATTGAAGAGGAAACTTAAGATAGGCAAAAGTCGGATGTATGCACTAAGGGACAAAGAAGGCAAAATAACTACCAATATGGATAGGATAGTTAAGATAGCGGAGGAGTTTTACAGGGATCTGTACAGTAGCCGAGACAACCACGACCTTAATACTATAAGAACTAGCAGTAACCCAGATTACACCCCACCAGTAATGATAGAAGAAGTCAGAAAAGCTTTAGAGAGCATGCAAAGGGGCAAAGCTGCTGGTGAGGATCAGGTAACATCAGATCTGCTGAAAGATGGAGGACAGATTGTGTTGGAAAAACTAGCCACCCTGTTTACGAGGTGTCTCCTGGCGGGAAGAGTACCAGAGTCTTGGAAGAACGCTAACATCATCTTAATACATAAGAAAGGAGATGACAAGGACTTGAAGAATTATAGGCCGATCAGCTTGCTCTCTGTAGTATACAAGCTATTTACAAAGGTAATTGCTAACAGAGTAAAGAAAACATTAGAATTCAATCAACCAAAGGAACAAGCAGGATTTCGAACACGCTACTCAACAATTGACCACATTCATACTATCAATCAGGTAATAGAGAAATGCTCAGAGTATAACCAACCACTATACATAGCCTTCATAGATTACGAGAAGGCGTTTGATTCAGTAGAAATATCAGCCGTCATGCAAACACTGCGGAATCAGGGCGTAGATGAAGTATATATAAACATTCTGGAAGAAATCTACAGGGGATCAACTGCTACCATAGTGCTTCATAGAGAAAGCAACAGAATACCAATCAAGAAGGGTGTAAGGCAGGGGGACACAATTTCCCCAATGCTGTTTACCGCGTGCTCACAGGAGGTTTTCAGAAGCCTAGAATGGGAACAGTTAGGGATAACAGTCAATGGAGAATACCTTAGTAACCTGCGCTTCGCCGATGACATTGCATTGCTGAGTAACTCGGGGGACGAATTGCAACTCATGATTACGGAGTTAGACAAGGAGAGCAGAAAAGTGGGTCTTAAAATTAATCTGCAGAAAACAAAAGTAATGTACAACAACCTCGGCAAAGAGCAGCGCTTCGAGATAGGTAATAGTGCACTTGAAGTTGTAAAAGACTATAGTCTACTTAGGGCAGGTAATAACCGCAGAGACGAACCACGAGATTGAAGTAACTAGAAGAATAAGAATGGGGTGGAGCACATTCGGCAAGCACTCTCAAATTATGACAGGTAGATTGCCACTATCCCTCAAGAGGAAGGTATATAACAGCTGTATCTTGCCGGTACTTAGCTACGGAGCAGAAACTTGGAGACTTACAAAGAGGGTTCAGCTTAAATTGAGGACGACGCAGCGAGCAATAGAAAGAAAAATGGTAGGTGTAACCTTAAGAGACAAGAAGAGAGCAGAGTGGATTAGGGAACAAACGGGGGTTAAGGATATCATAGCTGAAATCAAGAAGAAGAAATGGGCATGGGCAGGGCATGTAGCGCGTAGACAGGATAACCGCTGGTCATTAAGTGTAACTGACTGGATTCCCAGAGAAGGGAAGCGGGTTAGGGGGAGACAGAAGGTTAGGTGGGCAGATGAGATTAAGAAGTTTGCGGGTATAAATTGGAAGCAGCAAGCACAGGACCGGGTTAACTGGCGGAACATGGGAGAGGCCTTTGTCCTGCAGTGGACGTAGTCAGGCTGATGATGATGATGACATGCACGGTCTGTGCGTGTATTGTGCACCAGTTGAAAAAAAAACCAGTTGAAAACCAACAGAACCCGTTGAGAAAACACCGCAGCAACAACAACGGTGGAAAGAAGGACGACAGAGAAGGCGACACCACGAAGAAAAACCGCGAGCTTCAGAGCCGTCTTAGCAGTCACCCCTGAAAAAGGAACTGAATAAGTCGCGAAACGTCGGGTCAGTGCACGGTCTTTACCTTCTATGTTTGAACTATAACTTGGATGGAGAAATTACGTTATTAGTTTTATATAATAAATTGCATCGACAAGTTTTGATTCATACTCGTACGATAATCCTCGTGCAAATTAATGATTATATTGTGCTAGAGGCCTATTCAGATGACGTGTTTTACCGGCATGGTACATAACACAAAGAAATGTTTATTCTAACATGGCTGGGAATAAAACTATTTGTCTTCTCTCCAGCCACCTTCTTAATCTACGAGGCGAGTTGTGCAAAAAGTTAGCCACAAGTATAAAAAACTAATAAAGTATATCAAGGGATTTAACGTAACATATGACAGGGATAAAGTTATGCCAAACAATTAGTGAAACTATACAGCAATTGTATCTCAAAAACCCGCCACATCAAGCTCGTCGCGGCGCGCTAAAGCTGAGATCGCAAGAACGCTCTTTTTTATATGTGGCTTTGCACGAGCGGGAAACACTAAAGTCACCTTACAGAAGCACACGACCACCTAGGGTATGTTAAAAAGTAAAGGAATAGGTTCCGCTCAGAGTTTCAATTCAGACAGTGGACAATAATTTATGTCCTAACTTGGAACCCTCTAGATGACCGCAAACACCTGGTATGTTGACATCACATCCACCACGTCACATGCTCCCTTCTTCTCCTCCCTGACTTATGCGGTGGATGTGCGCGGGCTTATACGGTGCTCACCTCACGTACACCATCGGAATGGGCTCGAGTGTGGTTCCACTACCTGCGGCACTCGCCAGGTGACACTCACGTCGCCCTTGAGCCTGCTCTCTCTCATATAAGAGAGCATGCATGCTGACCTCAAAGAGTTGCTCATTCGGGGGTGCCATGACATAGTGAACTGCAAAAGGGGCAGTGGGCTCCCTGTACCGCCAAATATTGTCGTGTGACCAGATATTGCTGATCTCTAACATCATTATGATGTCATTCGACGACGTCATCTCATGAAAACGTCATGTGAGACAATGTTGCTACTGTAGCAAGTGGTTCACCGAAAGTTCCTGTGTGAGAAACTATAGCCAGCTTCAAAGACATTCGTTTGTGGACGAAGCACCTTTATTCTAAACTGTGAGTTGACATCGCCGTAAGGAAGTGGCAGGTGTAAGCCATCTTATATGCCCGTCCAGTGTACTTGTATTATTGCCAGTTGTAGGTTTGCGCTTCCAGCAATGTCAAATTATTTGATTAGGGTTTGACGCAGACCATGTTGCGGCATATCTGGGAAATAAAAGATCCAGACAACGTCACACACTTTTCCGCTTTGATACGACAAAAGCATATGTGAGTAAGTTTTGAGAATTTTCTGTATCAGATTGAAGTGAAAGTGAAGCATTGAATAAATATGGCTGATCTTTTTACACGCTTTTACAAGCTAAGCTGTGTCTCACACATTCTATGACGTTCTATACTATGTCTGCCGGCTTTTCGTCAATATTTACGCATTTAACTGCACATGGATAAGGCAAATGCAGGAACAATTTTCTAGAAATATTTTTGTGAGGGTAGTGCTGTCTTAGTCTACGCCTCTGAATATATGTAGCTATTTGCAGCGTAAATTTAGTTTGCAGGGGTAACTACGCAAATGAATGAATCAATTAGAGAAATCGGCTTCATATCAGGCACTTACGGTACATGACATGGGAATGCAACTAAGAATAATTTTGTCTTGCTGCGGCTCGAAAACACTGCAGGAGAACTTCTTGGGTGACAACTGCTCTGACCTTCGCCCACCGTGGTTGTGCACGAGCCGAAGTACTGGCTACGGCGGCCGCATTTCGATAGAGGAAAATTCTCAACGCCCGTGTACCTAGATTTACATCTCCTGTGGATGATGTCCTGGTTTGGGGACGCAAAAATTCAACAGTTGTTAGTAACAGCTCCAACTTGACTCGCATTATGTTCGCACTCAGCTTCTTGGGCGAGAATTGCTGGGTCTTACCTTCAGCTGCTCGGAAACGAATATCATAGAAGATACGTGCAGTATGATGATTCTTCACCTATATCTAGCTCCTTTAGCGGTTGCCCGACAGACATTTTTGAAGGAAGCATCTGTTTCTAGATGCGTCTGTTGCTTGAGACAAAAATAATATGCGTGTATGTATTACATATCCTTGCACGTCTTGTTCTCTCTTGCACGCGCACTGTCCTCCCTTCCTTAGGCCCTCTTGTTTCTCCTTCTTTATGACTGCTGCATGAGAAAGCTCGACTACGCAATGCATACTGTAAACAAGATCAATCGGGCCATGGGATTCTTCTCTAAATTTTGGAATAAATTTTTGCCGAAACACGAGCTTACATTTTACCATGCACGCTTTGGATTGTACAGGTATTTAATGGATTTTATTTGAGTGTAACATTATTCTTCAAATAAACCCTGTGAGCGAAAAATCCATCGAAAACATCTGGATCATAGCATGACTCTTCTTTAGGTCCGTGCCAGTCAGTTTGCACATATGCAAGAACAAAATAGACATTTTAACCATTTATTTGCTTTCAAAAAGATAGCTGTCAGTGTATTTGAATCGAATTTAAAATATTATTACAGGTCTTGACACTTCTTCTCGTTATTAGGAAAGTGTTTGCTGTGTTTTATTTCGACAGGAAGCTTGTTCCACTAGCTGTGACCACCATATAAAGTTGCCAGCTTCATCACGGCAACTTCTTAGTCACTTGTAGAAAGTGTCTCCTTGTTTCCTTCTACTCCTACTCCCTCCCTGTTTTTGGCTGAACATCAAAAACAAAATTTAAAATTATACCTTGCTTCCAGAATAAGGCAATTAGGCTGATCGTTAGGGTTCTTTACACTGTTCAGACTGCAAACCTATTACAGCAGGATAATATTTGTCTTGCCCCGCCGTGGTAGCGAAGTGGCCATGGTACTGGGATGCTGACCCGCAGGTCGCGGGATCAAATCCTGGCTGCGGCGGCTGCATTTTCGATGGAGGCAAAAATGCTGCAGGCCCATGTGATCAGAATTGGGTGCACGTAAACGTATCTCAGGGGGTCGAAATTCTCAGGGGGTCGAAAAGCTTTCTGCCGCCCACGTTGGCGCTTATTACCGCCGTCATTCACCGTGTATGTATACCAAACTATATTTATGAAAACGCAAGAAAAAATAATCCAAAATAATACTCCGCCATGCGTAATCAAACTTGTGGCCTCTCCCTCCATATCACGCGGCGTTAGCTAGTGAGCCATGAAGGAGCCCTTTATTTTTGCCGTTTGATTGTTGAAGCAGGTGCTCCTTCATGGACAATAAAGACCCATGAAGGAGCAGCTCCTTCGACGTTCAAACGGCAAGCTATTTATATCTACCATTCCCGCTAGCAGTACCAATTTTGGGGTACTTCATAGACCATTTATTCTTTTCTGCTATACTCTCTTATGGCGTCAGATTTGTCACCGTCAAATGCAACATTTCACGTTTGTTTTCTATTTTACTATTTTTCGGTACACATTTCGGGAGAAAAATCGGGCTTTGTTAGTATTACCAGCGAGATGGCGCAATGAGCGCACTTCGTGCCCACTTCGTGGCAATGCGCCGACGCGCGCTCATCTACAACGCGTACTTTGCCCCAGGAAGGGGAGGGGGGTAAATGCTTACACGCGCACGCCTATGCTTTGGTGGAGGAGATTCGTGCATTTTCGACTTTCACCGGAATGATTGCGTTTTAGTTGCCAGGCCCACTGGGGTCACTTCGCTCGCTGCACAGGCTCCGTTGTAAAAAGAGCGCGCTTTTCGTGCACTGCGAAGTAACATCTGGAAACCTCGTTATATTTCACTCATCTGCACCTGTGATTACGTTTCTTGAGTCGTTTTTTAAACAGCATGTTAGGTGTCAAGCTGTAAACGTTGTTAGTTCACTCTCATCCTGCGTGATTTTCGTGTGGCATTTGTGCGTGAGTAGCGCGCTGCACCTTTCGATCTGAGCAACCGTTCGCAGCGTTCCTTTCCAAGTTGCTGCTATCGCATTCAAGGACCTCACCCTCGTCTCACGCTCGACCATGTGCGTCCTTTCTGCTTGTAGAGCACGCTGCAAGTTTCAAGTTGTCGGTCGTTGCTCGCGTGCTTAGGCATACATTCCTTCGCCCTTGTGGCGAAACAATGCACAATAAACGCTTAGCCGCCGCTGTAAAGACACACTTCTCCTTCGTGGTATACCACCCCACCACGGTGGTCTAGTGGCTAAGTACTCTGCTGCTGATCCGCAGGTCGCGGGATCGAATCCCGGCAGCGGCTGCTGCATTTTGCGATGGAGGCGGAAATGTTGTAGGTCCATGTAGTCACATTTGACGGCACGGTAAAGAACCCCAGGTGGTCGAAATTTCCGGAGCCCTCCACTACGGCGTCTCTCATAACCATGCATATTAGGTTTTTGGGACGTTGAACCCCACATATGAATCAATTAGTGTTATACCAATTCCTATGTTAGAGGGATCAGCCGCTTCTTTAGTCAAATAATGAAGGAATGGCTTCATTCGTCAGTTGATTCTGTTATGAATTGACTACGGCAAAAAGTTCTACAATCCGCCTGGTACGATTGAAATCGCAACTATTCGTCGCATGCTCGATGCGCTTTCTCCCTTCTTTTTTTGAGCGAACGCTCTGTAAGCCACACTGGGAAAGGAGGTGTCATGACAAGGGCGTATGAAGCTTTTCCTTATGTTAGCGCACGGCATAATCTTGAGCACTTTTCTTATTTTCTTCCAACAGGCGGCTCACTTTCAAAACACATTCACACTTCAGAAGTGAGAACGCCAGAGAGGGACAAAACGCTCGCACACGCGCGTCGAAACCTTCTTAATATTGACGCTCTTATAAGCCGCTGCTGCCATCTTCACGACTCGTAGAGTTCAATCTGGTTTACCTGTTTTCTGAGCTTTTTAGTTGCATGCCGAATCGAAAATCACGCCTTCTAAACAAGGAAATAACTTTTTTCGAGCCGTTGTTTCAATAGATGCACTAACAGAAACCTTCACAATCGGAGAAACCAGCAGTGGTGGTAGCAAATCCGCGCAGCAGTGCAATAGTGAGTCATGTTATGGCATCGCGACTCGCCGCTGTAGCACCTTCCACTAATCTAGTCTTATTGGCAATCCTAATAAAATCAGAAAAATCAGACTATTGCGGGATCGCGTCATCGTAACGCTGAAGATTTCGTAGTGCAGCATGAGTAGTTTATGATTCCGCCGATGAGAATCACTGCCTACTTCTGGGCAGCTATTTGAATTGGCAGGTCGGATGTTTACATTACGTAGTTTTATGTTAAAGTGCATCCAAATTACGGCATTCCACTATTCCATGATAGATAAAACGATCCGGGACAGATTTTTTCGCATTGACTTCACTGCATAGGTTTCTTGCCTCCCATGGAGGTGCCGAAGTGAGCCGATTTCTGGTCGGTTTATCGGCTTTCGGCCCCATTTCAGGTGAATTGTGAAGGCGCCTTCTGTGTAATCACGAGCGCACTTGGGTAAAGGGTAGGGCGTGCCCGTCGAGTCACACTGCGGCACACTGAGGCCAGCCTGCGCATGCCTGAGTTTAGCACGCATGTCATTTTTACAGACAGCACACCCCTGGATGAAAACGTCCGACCAACGTGACAGTAACATTCATGCTCTGGCTGTGTATTGGGACTTCAAAACTTTTGAGTTAAAAGTGAATCACAAACATATTGAAGGAAATAATTTTAGGGGATAGGCTTGTACACCATCCGGCGCTTACGATGGCGATTATGCTGACGACGATGGATAACAATCGCCTTAGCACATGAGAGATACCCGATTACGATGACACGGAGTACACAAAAGGACAGTGTAGTGCGAAGGCGCGTATAAGCACGTTCCCGACCAAGGAACATTCTCTTCTGGCAATAGGTAAATACGAACATATACGGCGCGGAAAGCGGCGGCAAAACGACAAAAGTGCCAAGTGGACTCGAAGATGAGAGCGCGAGAACCAACTACTACACTGTAACGCCAGGTGGCTTTTGCAGTATATAACACATCGGTACGCTCTGTGATGCATTTCGTATTATACAAGACGACCAACAACAACCAGGGGAACGTGCATATACCTCGTATTTGCTAGCTTCCGGCTAGATCTGATAAAAAAAAACCATCGGCTGTACATTTCAAGGACCACAAAACAGTAATAATGAAGGCAAAATGAAATTCACAACACGACACGCCATTTGTGACCAATGAACGTGGTGTAACTGTATAGTGCTTTCTCACTCATTTACATGCGTCAGAGTCAATGTCACGGGTGATTTACTTCCGGTGAATGATTCCACTATGTCGCCCACACATCATCATTCACTTCGTGGAGATGCGGTGATTTTTTCAAAGACATATAACACTCAACTACAAAGCGACATTCATATTCTGAGTGGGATTATTATGAACTTCTGCACCGATATATTTTTTAACGTTAAATGCACGCTATAGTCTGTAAAGGCTTCTTCGAAAACTGTTCAGAATCGGTTTCCCTACCATGTCAAATGCCTAAGGCGCATTTCACACGTTCTTGGTGTCTACATTAAAAAATTACAATATTTACAAAGGCTAGTTCTCGCTTGCTTTCAACCAGAACAGGTCATTTGTTAAAGAGGTATTATTGAAGAGACAACTAATACGGAGCTATCTAAAAACAACATGACGTCTCGAACAGGTGAGATTGCACCAAGCACCAGAAGTCATTTTATGTACATTTTGGGGAAGTTTACAGCGCAGACGTTAAAGCCGATATGCTGTTTCGCGTGATTCTCTGTAGTATAATAATAGTTCTCACCTTTGGATGCTGAGCCTCAGAGCAGGGTGTGCCATCTAATGCAAATGATGTGCGGTTCTGCAGCTGCCCAGGCTTTTTCTTTTCTTCCACCAAACAGCGGAACACGCACTTCTTGATGTCCGAATGAAGCTGCAAAGAGGGAAAGTTAGATTTTTTCCACATTCTTTCAAGTTAGGGGCCCAATGAAGCTGACGGGCATACGATCGATTTTGCCTCTTCAGAGTTCTCCACAGGTGCGCTGCTCGTTGGGCGTGCTCAGAATGGGCAGGCCAGGCTATACTTTCCACGCATGACCTCACCACCGCTGCGCCAATTATATCTGAACTTCTACGTCCCACAAGTAGAGTATGATTATGAGAGATGCCATAGAGAAGGGCTTCGAGAACTTTGACTGTCTGGTATTTAACATCCAATGACATCGCACAGTACATGAGCCTTCACCATTTTGCGTCCATAAAAATACGACCACCACTGCAGCAGGGATTGAACCCACTACCTTCGGCACAGAAGTTGAGACCCATATTCATTGCTTCAACGCAGCAGTCGCCTACACTAGACTGATAGGGCAAAAGGGGTACCAGCTTCAGTGAAGCTTTCTGCACCCCACGTGATGTTGCAGACCCTTTCGACTTCGGCCCAACTTTGACTGATCCCTGATTCCAATAAACGATGTCATCCTTTAAGGTATTGTATTGACGTGTCAGCATCTGACATCACTATAACGTTATAAAGACTCCCAAATTTTGGGGATACATGAAGCCTCGATGACACATGACGCCTTCATTATGGGACACCCCTGATCGCTCCGAGGTAGTCACGCAGCTTATTTTGTCCGGGTCCGTGGACAGACAGGTAAACGTGCCACAAGATTAACCAGGCAAAGAAATAACATCTTCGCTGTAAAAGATCAATCAAACTTCTCACATGTAGCGTAGCCACGAGGTCTGACACTTTCTTCAGTAGTTATTTTCGCAGCGTTTCCGGCTTCTAACACACTGACGCAAATCTATTACAACGACAAGAGTACGTCGTCATGCGTCTTTTTCCCGGTGTAGGGTAGCCAGCCAGAAAGTATTGGTTATTCTTTCGGCCTACTCCCTTTTGCTTCCTTTCGTCCTTGTTTCTGTTTATTTCTCATGCCTTTTTTCTTTCTTCTGTTTTATGTCATATTTTTTCTCTTAATTTCTCTATATTTCCTCTTTTATATATCTCTCTTACCCTTTCCACCTTTTTTTTCGCTTCTTATCTTTTTATCTCTCCATTACTTTTTCCTCCTGTGATTCTTTCTTTTCCCGTTTTTTTGTCTCTCTTGTTGTCCTTCAGCAATTTTTATACACACTGCTTTACTCTCTCCTCCTCATATTTCTTCTTCTCCCCCCACGCCATTCATCAGTCACCCTCACCTCTTTTTTACGGCCGCTTCGCATACAAAAAATGCTCAGCCGCGTTGGTCTAGTGGCTAAGGTACTCGGCTGCTCACCCGCTGGTCGCGTTATCGAATCCCTGCTGCTGGTGGCTGAATTTTCAATAAAGCTGAAAATGCTGTAGGCCTATGGGCTAAGATTTGGGTGCACGTTAAAGAACCACATGTGTTCGAAATTTTCGGAGCTCACCCCTACGACAATTCTTATAATCATACGGTGGTTTTCATACCTAAAACCCCACATATCAATCAATCAATGATTCGCGTAACAATGCTATAAAAGACTATGATATGTGTGATGATGTTTATTTAAGCAGAAAAGTCGCAACGAAGTTGCAACAAAAATTGGCCTATATGGAAAGTCTGGCAAAGGCAGCACAGGCTCTCGCGCAAGCAGAGCACGGGGCTTTTCGTTATCTTCCGAAGGCGCACAAGCATTGGTGCGTATGCTCCACTACAATACTCCCGGGGTGAATGGTAGCCATCCTGGCAACTGAGGGAGTAGGCACGGTCGACGTGTACGGTCTCATGTCCTTGACGGCGCAAATCTAGTGATTGGATTAGTGGCTCGATGATGTAATCCACCGGGGAGGTGGCGTCAATGACACGGTAAGGACCATGTTACCGGGCCATAAGTTTAGAAGACAGGCCAGGAACGTGCGGGGGCACCCAAAGCCACACAAGGGAAACAGCACAAAACGTAGGAGCTATGTGGTGAACGTCGCCATGTCGAGTCTTTTGTAGACCTTGAGCCTCACTTGTCAGAGACCGAGCCAACTGACGGAAGTCTTCAGCGTATCTGGCGACTTCCGAAAGCAGAGCACTCCGACGCATCAGGGCGGTAAGGGAGTATAGTTTCGAGTGGGTGGGAAGGTTTGCGGCCGTACAACTGAAAGACGGGAAAAAACCGGTAGTCGCTTGCGTCGCGGTGTTATAAGCGAAGGTAACAAAAGGTAATACAGCGTCCCAGTTAGTGTGGTCGGAGGAGGTGTACATCTTCAGCATGTCATCAATTGTGCGGTTGAAGCGCTCAGTGAGACCATTTGTCTGTGGATGGTATGCGGTAGATTTCCGGTGGATAATGTTGCATTCAGCGAAGATACCTTGAATGACCTCCGACAGTAACACACGACCCCTATCACTGAGTAATTCCCGCGGAGAACCATGGCGTAAAATGAAGCTGCGGAGAATGAAGAGTGCAACTTCGTGGGTGGTCGCTGCCGGTATAGAGCTGCAGTCTCCGTGTAGCGTGTCAGATGATCGACGCCGACAATAATCCACCTGTTTCCAGAGCCACTATAAGGGAGGGGGCAATAGAGGTCAGTACCCACGCGGTCGAATGGGCGAGCCGGGCACGGGAGTGGCTGTAACATGCCAGTAAGGTGCCGTGCAGGTGTCTTGTTCTGTTGGCAAGTGGTGCAAGACTGAACGTATTTCTGCCCAAAGCGATACATTCCTCGCCAGTAATGTCGTTGGCGCAGCCTTTAGTAGGTTTTCAGGACACCTGCGTGAGCATTTTGGGGCTCTGCATGGACATTCATGCAGATGTCAAAGCGCATATGAGTTGGGACAACAAGGAGCCACTTCTGACCACCAGACATGTAGTTGCGGCGGTACATAATGTTGTCTCGTAAGAAAAGGGGGCTGCTTGCCGGCGTAGCGCTCTTGTGAAAGGGACAGCAGACGGATCGGTAAGGTAGTCGACTAACAAGGCAAGGCATGGGTCTTTACGCTGCTCCAAAAGCATGTCAGTGGTGTCGAGTGGTGACAAGGTGGTAAAATGGGGTGACAGAGAAGCCACATGTGGTGTTAATGGCAACCGCGAGAGTGCATCAGCATCCGCATTCTTGCGACCGGAACGATATACGACACAGATGTCGTATTCCGGCAATCGAAGTGCCCAACGCCCCAGGCTTCCGGACGGGCCTTTCAAGGTGAACAGCCAACATAGAGCGTGGTGGTCTGTGACCACGTCGAAATGACGGCCATAAATGTATGGGCGGAACTTCGTCAGAGCCCAGATTATGGCCAAACACTGCTTCTCTGTCACGGAGTAATTCAATTCAGCCTTCTTGAGAGCACGACTCACATAAGCGACTACGTATTCGGTTTGGGTGCCTTTTCGTTGTGCCAAAATTGCACCAAGATCGACGCCACTTGCATCGGTGTGAATTTCTGCGGCAGCAGTGGGGTCGTAGTGGCGAAGAATAGGTGGTGTGGTCAGCAGGCTGCGCAGCTGGCGAAATGTGTCGTCGCATGCAGGTGACCATGCAGATATACCTTTGCTGCTGGAAAGCAGACTTGTCAGAGGTGCGATGATGGACGTGAAGTTGCGCACGAAGCGACGAAAGTAGGAGCAGAGACCAATGAAACTTCTTAGGGCTTTCAGTGATGTGGGCATTGGGAAGTCGGCGACAGCTCGAAGCTTATCGGGATCCGAAACACAGTCTCTTGTGATGACATGTCCCAAGATGGTTAGTTTTCGTGCTGCGAAGTGGCACTTCTTAGTGTCAAGTTGCAGGCCTGCTGGAGTAAGACACGTCAGAATCTCGTGGAGACAACCAAGATGTGTCGGGAAATCAGCTGACAAGAATACGATGTCATCTAGGTAACACAAGCACTTGTGGGCGCGCAATATGGCATCGATCATGCGCTGAAATGTCGCAGGCGCGTTGCAGAGCCCAAATGGCATGACTTTTAACTCATATAGGCCATCCGGCGTTACAATGGCTGTTTTAGGGTGAACACATCCAGCCATTGGCACCTGCCAATACCCAAAACGCAGATCCAATGATGTAAAGTACTCGGCGCCTTGTAAACAGTCAAGAGCATTGTCTATTCATGGTAGCGGGTGGAAATCTTTCTTCGTAATTTTGTTTAAGCGGCGATAGTTTACGCAAAATCAAACGGTGCCATCTTTTTTCTTTACCAGAACCATAGCTGATGACCAAGGACTTTGGGAAGGCTGTATGACTCCATGTTTAGGCATGTCGTCTACTTGCTCCATAATGACGCGGTGCTCTTCAGCGGAAACGTGGTAAGGACGCTGTCGCAGAGGCGAATGTGAGACGGTGTCAATAGTATGAGTTACAGTCGTGGTGCGGCCCAAAGCAGGTTCTTGAAAGTCGGAAGAAGAGTAACAAGTTGGTGGCGATGTGAGGGGGGAAAGTGTGCGTCCATAACATTGTCAAAGGCTAACGAACTTGATGGCTCAGACGCATGAGTGATTGCGGCAATGTTACATGGGGTTTGTCGGGAAGAATATTATCATCGATATGGTCGACAAGCTGTACAGATCCCAAGGTTTCACCGCGGAGTAAGCCAACGGAATAGTTGCAGTGGTTGGTAACCAGCATTACGGTTAAACCAGACGCAATTGTAAGAACGGCAAATGGGAGAATGATGCCCTTGCATTTAGTAAAAACCGGAGATGACGTGAACACCACCGTGGGGTCAGTTTGCGCTACACATGAAAGCCCAATAGGGACTGAAGCTTCCGGAGGAAAGATGTCGTCGTCGGCGATGAGTTTGCAGACCAGAGGAGAACGGTTGGGCGATGAAAACTCACATATTGGCACAAGGTACACTTCCCACGGGAACAATCGATGATAGCTTCATGACGTGATAAGAAATCCCAACCCAGGATGAGGTCATGAGCAAGATGGTAGAACAAAAATTTTGACAATGTAGAAAACGTCTTGGATGACGACGCACGCCGTACACACAGCCGAGGGATGAATGCGTTGCGCGCTAGCCGTGGACAGCAATGTGCTACAAAGAGATGTGGTGACTTTTTTCAGTTTCTGACAAAATTTTGCGTTCATCCCAGAAACGGCGGCCCCAGTATCAATTAACGCTAGTTTGGCGACTCCCTCAACATCGACATCAACAACATTTTGCGGCGAAAATGGAGGCCTGTATAATTGCGCAGAAGTGTCAGTTCTTGCCCCCGGAACCGTACTGATTAGTTTCCCTCCTCATGAGGTGGTCGACGACGCATAGGCGATGGCGATCGGCGATGAGGGGATGGGAAACGAACAGTTGATGGGCGACGATCCGAGTCGGAGTGCCTGTGTTCATATGCAGACGTGGTGGCCTGCTGCGACGCGTAGGTAGGAGTTCCAAAGGAGGCGTATGCAGCTGTGGGACGGCGCTGGTAGAAGCGTGCAACGTGGCCAGCGATGCCACACGCGAAGCAGATCGGACGGTTGTTATGGTTGCGCCACTCATTAAATGGACGGAAAAAGCGAGGTGGGGGCCTGTATACCGGAGTTGAGGCCGGAGGAGGTGGAGCCGATAAGGAGACTAGATGCTGTGGGGGCCGTGCGACCACAGCTGCGTAGGTGAGAGGTGAAGGTGGCGCATGTGGTGCGTAGCCAACAGTTGAGAGATCAGGTGGTACTGAAGTGCATGGGTAAGGGGCCGGCACTGTAGGGAGGACATCGCAAATTTTAGTGCGTATTGCCTGCTGAAGTATCGAAGGCAGGCTTGCGGTGGGCGCGTCGCTATGCGACAGCAGAGAAGCTGTCGGGCGACTTCCTCTCTGGTAAAGTCTTTGATCTGGTTGGACAGACTTTCTTGGCGAACGTTGGCATTTGCGAGTGTGACGGCCGAGATCGAATCTTGTGGTTGGACACTCTGCCGGGCAATGGAACGCTGACGGCGCAATTCATTGAAGCTTTGGCACAGGCTTACGAGAATTGCCACCAAGGTCAGGCTTTTCGCTAGCAACATCTGGAATGCGCCATCCTCGATGCCCTTGAGAATTTGCAGAATTTTCTCTTTTTCAGGTATAGATGGGCTAACATGCCTGCAGAGGTCGAGCACATCCTCAATGTAACTAGTAAACGTATCGCCAGGCTGCTGGGCTTGGTGGCATAGACGCTGGTCAGCGCGGAGCTTGCGGAACTCTAGTCGGCCGAACGCTTCAGTCAAGAGCGTCCTAAAGGAGGACCAGTTGGCGATGACAGTTTTGCTGTTGGTATACCAAAGCTTAGCTACGTCTGCCAAGTAAAAAGATAACGTAGGCGAGCTTAGAGTCGTCGTCCCTCTCGTTGCTGGCACTTACGCGTTCGTACAAGGAGAGCCAGTCTTCGACGTCTTGCTCACCACTGCCGCTGAAGATCGGTGAGTCCCGTTGGCGGGTAGCGCCGGGGCAGGTAGGCGGGGCCGCCAATGGTGCGTGCTGGGCTGGGATGGACTGGTTGGCGACTGCATCAGTCATGTTTCGCGGTGGTCTCTCGGCCAACTTGCGAGAGCGGATCTCCAGGTCTGCTTGGGGATCTCAGCAGCCTGCACCAAATGTGATGATGTTCATTCGAGCAGAAAAGTCACAACAAGGTTGCAACAAAAAATGGCCGTACGCCAACTATGGCAAAGGCCGCACAGGCTCTCGCGTAAGCAGAGCACGGGGATTTTTATTATTTTCCGAAGGCGCATACGCGTTAGTGCGTATGCTCCACTACATATGTTTTTGTCGACTTGCCCGGATAGCCGATTGATTGGGACACTCGCCTTATGATCGGTGGCACGCTGGTTCGAATGTCGCTGACTTGTGACGAACTCCTTTTCACAAAAGTTGCTTTCTGTATGTTCTCTTCTTCCAGTCTCCCTGTTTGTTTCCCTCTTTCTTTTCGTGTACACCTCTTCGCTGCCTAATTTCTCCTTCGCTTTCTGCTATTGCCTTGCCGCACACCAGCAAAATCGGCGCACTAGTTCTCAGACGACGAACAGGACAAAGAGAAAAGCTGCAGTTTCAAGTGCATGATAATTTTGGAACGGAATATTTTACGCCGAGTTAAAACCTATGGCTAAAACAGTTTGTTTTGTTTGTTTCTTTTCTTGGATAAATTGCACGTACCCACTTTGGGAGACTGGCCAAGATTGCGACGTCGAGATTGTTATTTTAGGCAAGATATGTGAGTAAAATTCAAAAAGATAGAAGTAAAATGGCAATTATACTCAATAGAATAAATTTAAACTACAAGTATTAGGCTTTTGAGCTTGTATTTCAGACAGCTGTATTAACCTGGTTTGAAAAACTTTGACAACTTAGATAAAAGAGCTTCGCTGTTTTTTCTTTTTCTTCTAATCTCATGGCCAATTCCCGCTTCGCTCTTAAACAGACATCGGCAGCGTTGGCCTGATAGATACAAGAAATAAAGATCGAGATTCCAGAAGGAATTCAACCCATGTGATCTGCGTAGCAGCAATCTATTCTACCACAGAACCCCGTTAGACCCTGAAGCAGTTTTTGGAAGAAAGTGTAGGGGCAATGATGGCGCGGCGTCAATCGTAGTAGCACTAAATAATACACAAGTGTACCCCTAGGATACAGGCGGTTCTAACAGGTTTTGATTTCGGCTCCGCTTTTTTAGCTGTTTAATAAACATTACATTTGAATTCCTATGACTGAACTAGCTATATTGAAGCTTTTCTTCATTCCAAAGCAATACGCTAAACGCTAAGCTTGATATTCTCATCTTTACACTTTAAACTACACTTAGTTATAATAATAATGAGTTGTGTTCTCTATTATGAGTACTGACGCAAAATCTGACGATAAGTTGCCCTACACCAGTGTGGTTAGTTGGCGTTCCTGGTAAGCCCACATTGTACTCAGAAGTACAATACTTAAAAAAACACTACTAGCCACCTCTTAACACATAGCTCAAAGCCACGTAGGACAGCATACAGAATTACCCACCCACTGCTTCATGCGTGAGATCGATGGATGGAGCAAGCTTTTATTTGTAGTCCTGAGAAACGCGACTAGCGTCCCGGTGGGCTTCTCACACGTTGGGACGGGCAGGCTAAGCCAGACCTCTCCGCATCGTGGACTGTCTGGATGACCCACAGCTTATGCACGCTTGTGTGGTAGTTAACCTTTCAATGCGGAAATTTTTCGTGAATGCTTGCGGGCGTGTGCCACAGAAAAAGCGCACGTGCCACTACTAATGTCGGGTCAGTGCAAATGAATAGAAAAGTAATTTCTTCAGGGCTTGCAAGGTTGTCAATTTGTCTCTTTTTCTTGAGTTTTTCTTTTCATACAAGATACACTCAACACTTTGTGTCAGCAAAAGGAACTGCCACACATGCAGATTGACCTCTAGACGCGGAATGTGGTGAGGGGCACAAAATTCGTTGGGCCGCAGTGCCATAAATACAGTGAACTAGTATATACCAGTGAACTCGAGGTGGTTAAAGGTGGGAAGTTGACCCGAAGGGCATGCCGTAAGAAATTGTGCGTGTGCCACCTCTCGTTTAGTTCTTGGAATGTCCACTGGTTGGCGTTGCTTCTATCTGGGGAATATATGGTGAAAAGATGCGAGATGGTGGTATTTGGGCCCCGCCACGGTGGTCTAGTAGGCTAAGGTACTCGGCTGCTGACCCGCAGGTCGCGGGATCAAATCCCGGCTGTGGCGGCTGCATTTCTGATGGAGGCGGAAATGTTGTAGGCCCGTATACTCAAATTTGGGTGCACGTTAAAGAACCCCAGGTGGTGCGAATTTCCGGAGCCCTGCACTACGGTGCCTCTCATAATCATATGGTGGTTTTGGGACGTTAAACCCCACAAATCAATCAAATCATCATGATGGTATTGGAAGTATTGAATAGATGGACGAACGGACACACAGGCAGATGCATGAATGAACGCATGAACGTACGCAGGGGCGGATGCATGGACGAACGCAGGGACGGACGCACAAACAGATGCACGCACGGACGGGCGGATGGATGCATGGACGGTCACACAGATGGACGCATGGACGGACGGAAGCAAGAACGAATGGACGGACGAATTCTTCGCCCCACTCTCCATCATTCACTCCGTGGATATGCTGCCAACTTTTTTTCAAACTAGAACATTCCTAACACGCGCTGGTTACAATATCGTCCATTAAATCTTCCGATGTGCGTAAACCGTACAAAATATCTTGTTGCGCGAAAGCTACCGTACCTTTATGTAAGTAGACTTTGAGTACTCGGGCTCCTGTAGTACTCCTTACAGTACGTTGGTCCATTCATTACGTCCCCTGGGAGATTCGCCGCCTTGTTTGGGAGTAAACTGACGTGGCATGCATTCTTTTCAAATAAGCATCTTGAGTATGGCCACCTGCAAGACAGTGAGGTGGAGGAAAAAGACAAGAACAACAAGAGAGGAAGCAGGGAGGTTAACCAGGCACATGCGCAGTTTGCTACTCCTACGCTGGGGAAATTAAAATGGACAGTCCGTATATATCTTGCTATAGAAGGCAATGGAAAATATCGCAAATGGCAAAAGTTAACGCTGAATTTTTTCGTATTTTCAATCGCAATAAAACTTAACTTCGTCACGACAATACTTTGTGTGGACCAAACTACACCTCAGGCTCACAATGCAACAAATACTAACGAGTACAGTACTTATCGCAATGACACAAATAGTTGTCACGGTTTTGTTATATGAATGAAATTTTACGTAAAACATGTGGCATAATTCAAGAAAACCGGTTGTCTTTCCCGACAAGCTTTCTGTTTCAACGTTCACTAGTCCAACACGCCAGATAGAAAACAAATGCGCGTATGTGCTTCAGTTTACCAGCGGCGAAGCTATTAAGCTCATAGCATTGACGGCGTTTGTCGCGCTACACAAAATCGAAATCGATACGGGAGAACTGCACGAAAAACAATGAAAACATCTTTGAATGTTTACATCAGGGACCTTAGTCCGTGCATCTGTTTGTCGGTTAACGTTATGGATCTAGGACCTATCATCGCCCACTCGTCATCATTCAATTTGAAAGATTCACAGATTTTTAGATGCGAAGCATTTGATGAGCGAGCTCGATCCGGCGGCGTCAGTGCTTCACTGTGCGTCCCCTCTCTCTCTTCTCTCCGACATCCACCCCTCTCTCTCCTCGCAACGCGGACGCAGGAAGCGTCTTCTAACGTGCGCTCGCCCGCCGGTCCTCTCTATCCGCTGGGCGTCCCTCTAAGCGACGTTTTGATCGTGAATCAATAAGTATAATACTGCACAACTATGTAATCAACATTCGCACTTACTGCTATCTTTCCAATATTAGTGTAGAAGCTGTAACTTGTGGTCTGATGGTAAACCTAAAGTAATGACCTTTAGCTGATGTGCCATCTTCTGTGCTATAAAGCTAGCTTTGATTGATATGTGGGGTTTAACGTCCCAAAACCACTATATGATCATGAGAGACGCCGTAGTCGAGGGCTCCGGAAATTTAGACCACCTGGGGTTCTTTAACGAGCACCCAAATCTGAGCACACGGGCCTACAACATTTCCGCCTCTATCGGAAATGCAGGCTATAAAGCTAGCTGAAATCTGATTTAAAAAAACAACGTGCTCCTATGTCGAGAATCTACTTTACTACTTAAGATGAATTTCATTGTGTTTGTCAGAATAAACAGACTCGCATAGTGAATTATTATGAAAGTGAATTGTTAATAAATGTATTCTTTAGGATAAACAACGTGACGCTTAAGCTTCTTTGTATTTATTACGTGTATATTTGCGCAAAAGAAATATAGCAGGTTCACTCATGATTCCTTTCGCTAACAATATGCTGGGCTTGAGGACACAAAGGCAGGAGAACAGACGACACAGGCAGGGTCTCAACAGACAAATTTCAGGTAAAGCTCTTCAAAATCGAGCTTTTTGTCGTACGCGTTCGCCACGCTCCACAAAATTTAAACTGAACGCGAACATCTGCACAACGAAAATTCCCAAGCATTTCCCCGAGGGTGAACATGGTTAAGTGCGAATGCATGGGGTGATGCTATGAGTGGTATTTATTAATTCGCACTGTTATATTTATTATTCCCACTATGGTGCCTTTATGGTGTAATGGTTCCTGGGAATCGCAATTTGATCACACGGGGGAGTTTACGTTAACTCACTGGCGAATGCCAACGGATTTTAACTTTGCTCCCCTTCATAGCATCACCCCGTGCATTCGCACTTTACCATGTTCACCCTCGGGGAAATGCTTGGGAGTTTTATTACTGATGATGATGATTAAAGTGTAATAAATGAATTTAAGTGTTGTTTGTCATGAAGCATTTGTACACAGATACATTATATACGAAGTATTATTTATTTACACTTCACGACGCGTCCGGACGAGCAAAGTCCAGGGCTCGCACCCTCTCCCGCGCGGCACGTTCACTGGCTGGAACGGCTTCGGGAACGTCCACTCGCCGTTGACGATTGCGAGCGGCGTCTTGACGCCGGCCTTCATCGCCCTTCTCCTCCTGATGCTTGCGTTGTCGTTCCGCTTCTTGGACCGCGTTCGCGGCTCGATGCTGACGCCTCATCTCGGCCTCCCGAGCGCGCAGTTCACCATCCGCTGCACGCTTCGCCCGCTTGTCCTCGGCCTCGCGAGCGCGAAGTTCAGCATCCTCTGCACGCTTCGCCCGCTTGTCCTCGGCCTCGCGAGCGCGCAGTTCGGCATCCGCTGCACGGTTCGCCCGCTTGCACTCGGCCTCGCGAGCACGCAGTTCGGCATCCGCTGCACGCTTCGCCCGCTTACGTTCGGTCTCACGTGCCCTTCGCAGCGCCGCCTTGTCTTCCAACGTCGGCGAAACCACCGCGGTACCGTCACCTCCAACGACGGGTGCAGTGCTGGCATTCGGTTGTACTGCATTCGTTGTTGATGGTAGCGTTGCCTCCAGGACATCCATCGCACGACCCGCTCTCGACGGGAGACTGAGAGAGAAGGCGGGCGCGCGAGAGAGAGGGGTGCGCGCGCAGCTGCAGCGAATGAGGAGAGCGGAGGAGCGAGCGAAGGGGGAGGGGGTATAAGGCGCGTTACTGACACCGATATCAGCGTCGCGTCCGTGGCTTATTCGATAGAGCGTCGCGCTATGGCCCGCCAAGTCCTCTTTCTTTTAAAGATAGAGAGAAGACTGCGGACGCCGCCGACGGCGGTGGATGGTTTGGGGTCGCTTATAAAGTGTATTCACACTTAAAAACTAAAGCATTCTTGCAAATAAATTTTTATTATTTAGGCTGAAGACGCCGCCCGGGTCCAAGGACCTCGAGCTGTCATCTGAAGCACCACAACCATATTCGACAGAGAGTTGGAAGGGACAGGCATTAATCCCCTCTTCCCCCACCTCGCCCGGTGAAAACTGCCGGACTTTGAATACAGTTTATTTATTCATTCAGTTGTTCGAATTCAACGTTCCAAGTCCACCATATGTGTTCATAGGTCAATTATATAACAGTACGATACATTATCAGCTGCACCGTTCATTCGACCGTGCGTGCATGCTTTCATTCGTTGGTCTGTTCATCTGTCCATCGGTCCTAGTGTCAATCCGTCCGTCCTTCTGTCCGTCCATCCGTTCATTCGTCTACCTGTCCATTCATACATCCGTGCTCGCGTGCGTCCTTCCTTTAGAGTATATTTCCACCTGGTGTTCTGTGCCAGTGAACAGTGGGTCACTTCTGTGCTGGTGAACGAGAAAGACGAAGACAAGCAACCCGTGCCAGCGGAGACGTCCTTCTTTGTCTCCGAGATTTTTCACAGTCGCGCCCCTTTATACGTTCTTTCGAACTCTTAGCGCGTGACAACTGGTGGAGGTGCTGGGTACCCTATGCACCGAACCCCTCCTAGTACAAGAAGCTCCAGCCCCATACCGGTGGTTGCGCCTGTTCACCGTGCTAGCCGCAGGATCCCTGGACTGGACCCTGAGTTCGAACTTCTTTCAGAGGAGATGACGGCCCCAACTATTCCAGGCAGTGCCGTCCCAAGCGGCTCCAACCCAGCTGGTATGGAAGGCGCAACGCCATTGCAATATACACTGTTCAAACCACGAACGCCGAATCCCTTTCATGGTGCTGTCCATGAGGATGTTGAAGATTGGCTAGTCCACTATGACTTTGTTGCCGCTCATGACATGTGGGATGACGCAGACAAGCTCCGACATGTCTACTTCAGTTTGAATGACAGGCACGTGTTTGGTACGAAAACCGGGCAGGTGTGTTCACGTCAAGTGCGGACTTCAAACGCCGGCTTCTCGAAACGTATGCAAGTCCCAGTCGCCGAGAGCGAGCTGAACGTGAACTCTAGTGCCGTATGCAAATGCCAAATTAAGGCGTAGCAATGTATGTTGAGGACATGACGCGTCTTTTTCGACGAGCCGACCTTCACATGTCAGAAGAGAAGAAGGTGCGATACCTGATGCGTGGAGTAAAGGAGCAGTTGTTCGGTGGTCTTGTACGCACCCCCCCCCCCAAGACTACGTCAGAGTTTCTTGCTGAAGCCGTCCTGATTGAAAGCACGCTTCGGCAACGGACCCAGACGTACGAGCGACAAGTGAACTTTGCTTCTGCTAAAGACTACATGGGTGGTTTTGGGGCCCACGTCGACTTCTTCCGAGAGCTCATACGCTCTGTAATTTGGGAAGAACTGCAGAAGTTATCTGTACCCTCAGCGCCCACTGTCAGTACTTTGTCCGGCATCGTCCGAGATGAAGTTCAGCAGGCACTACGAGAACCGTCTTGTCAGACAGAGCCGCGGCCCCTAAATGACTTCCCTCGCATGTCGTATGCGCAAACTCTGCTCCAGCCAGCACCACCTTTGGCTCCGCTTCCCACCGCGGCCCCTGCCATGCTTTCGGAAGACCAAACTCTGCTCCAACCTCCGCCACATTTCACTCCGCCTTATACCACAGCCCCAGTCATGCTTCAGGCAGTCCAAGCGGGCCCGTACCTCAGTGACCACCGACAGATTCCGCGAAAATCAGACGTGTGGCGGGCCCCCGATCGACGTCCCCTTTGCTATCACTGTGGTGAACCGGGGCACATCTACCGACAGTGCACTTATCGACAGCTGGGACTTCATAGTTTTTCGGCCAACTCCCCACCTTCTAGGTTTGGCCAGCGGCCTCCGGAAATCGCTGACTACGTTGCTCAGCAGCGCGGATTGACATCTCGGCACCACTCACGCTCTCCATCACCACGGTGAATCCCGCCGAATCATCGCACCTATGCAGGCGTGGCGCAGGGCCGGTCACCTAGCCCGCGTCGGGAAAACTAGCCTCAGCGACCTTCAGGGGCAAGGCCGCTCAGACTGGTCATGCTCAAAGCCCCCTATCGACGCGGACTGAGGATACCGACGATACATCGGCAACGACACCACTGGCTAATTGCGGAAGAGTTTCCTTAGATATTCCTGTTCTGCTAGATGGTCGCGAAGTCAGCGCTTTAGTGGACACTGGTGCGGAGTATTCCATAATTAGCGAAAAGCTGGCCGCCCTTCTCAAGAATGTAACGACACCTTGGAACCGAATGGCAATTCGTACAGCTGGCGGGCATATCGTCACGCCACTCGGTATGTGCACGGCAAGATCGCGAGTCCATGGTTGTACGTTTGTTGCCAGTTTTAGCGTTCTCCAACAGTGCTCTCGAAACCTGATCATTGGCATGAATTTTCTCAGGGAGCATGGTGCTATAATTGACATTCGACGACGTCTAGTCACTTTCGCGACCACAAACGCCACAACAGCTTACGCCGACCCCAGCCACCCCCGAGTGTCTCTTCGCGTCGTCGACAACGCTGTCACGTTACCACCCAATGCAACTGTTGTGGTTCAGGTGGCGTGGTACGGAGTGATGCACGGTGAAGCAGTCGTAGAAAGCAATCACTTGCTTTTGCTGTCTCAGGGTGTCTGCGTAGCGAGAAGCCTTGTTGACCTTCGTGATGATCACTGCAACGTTTTTGTCCCAAACTTCAGCTACGAGCACCGACACCTTTTCCCTGGAACTGTCATCGCCTACGCCGACCCAGTCGCCAATGTCACCGAGTGTTTTTCTTCCGAGGCCATCCGCACTGTGAAATGCCTTTCCGCAGCGTCGACATCAATCCAACACTTTCTGAAGCGAACAAGCAGCGTTTGAGCGAGCTGTTGCTGGAGTTCCGCACATGCTTTGCGCGTTCTTCGAAGATACGTCAAACACCGATAACGAAACACCGTATTATTACCTACGACGACGCGCGTCCCATACGGCAGCAGCCTTATCGTGGTTCACCAACGAACGTCATGCGATTCGAACGCAGGTTAAGGAAATGATTGAGGATGGCGTGATACAGCCTTCAAGCAGCCCTTGGTCATCACCAGTCATTTTTGTGCAAAAGAAAGATGGCACGCTTCGCTTTTGTGTTGACTTCAGAAAGTTGAACAATGTCACAAAGAAAGACGTGTACCCATTGCCGAGAGTCGATGATTCTCTGGACAAGCTGCGACGCGGGAAGTATTTTTCGTCCGTCGACTTGAAAAACGGTTATTGGCAAATAGAGGTCGATGAACGTGACCGGAAAAAGATCGTTTTTTAACGCCGGATGGACTTTATGAATTCAAAGTGCTCCCTTTCGGCCTCTGTAACGCTCCAGCCACATTCCAGCGAATGATGGACACCGTCCTGGCAGACCTCAAATGGAAAAGCTGTCTCGTCTACCTCGATGATGTCGTTGTGCTTTCAGAAACGTTTGACGAGCATCTTCGTCGCCTTCGGAATGTGCTCGAAGCCATTAGATTGGCCGATCGCACACTGAAGCCTGAGAAATGTCCTTTCGGCTACGAATAATTGAAGTTTCTTGGTCATGTCGTGAGCGCCGTTGGTGTTCGGCCTGATCCTGACAAAACTACTGCCATGACCGCTTTTCCACCTCCAACTGACAAGAAAAGTCTTCGACGGTTTCTCGGTCTGTGCGCGTATTACCGGCGTTTTATTGAAAATGTCTCTAACATTGCAGAGCCATTATTGCGCCTCACGCGTGATGACACACCATTTGTCTGGGCTGACGACCAGCAGACTGCCTTTGCGGAACTACAGCACCCGCTCTCTTCCCCTCCCGTGCTCGGCCACTTCGATGAAGATGCTGACACTGAAGTACGCACTGATGCCAGCAATATTGGTCTTGGAGCTATTTTGGTACAAAGACAAGATGGCATTGAACGGGTAATAGCTAATGCAAGTCGCACACTGTCTCGCGCGGAATCTAACTATTCCACATCAGAAAAAGAATGTCTTGCGGTCATTTGGGCAATTACAAAGTTTAGGCCATATCTCTATGGAAGACCATTTAAAGTGGGTACTGACCATCATCCTTTGTGCTGGTTGACCAATCTACGAGACCCTTCAGGACGATTAGCACGATGTAGTCTGCGCCTACAGGAATTTGATGTCACCAACGTGTGCAAGTCAGGCAAAAAGCACGAAGACGCCGACACGCTATCACGAGCACCTCTTCAATCCACCAGTACTAGCGCAGAAGAGGACGGCGCCTTCATGGCAAGTGTCAGCGGACCGGATCTGATGTCTCATCAGCGAAATGACGCCGATCTAAGAATGATTATAGATAATTTAGAAGGTGGCACCGCGCCCATTCCTCGTCCAATGTCGCGAACGTTGCCATCACTTTGCCTTCGAAACGGCGTCTTATACAAAGGAACGCTGGTCCTGGTGACAGATCTCATCTTTTAGTCGTGCCTAAAGCCCTCCGCGATGACGTCTTATTAGCTTGACACGACGAGCCCACATCTAGCCATCTGGGCTACTCGAGAACTATGGATCGGGTGCGACAACTCTACTACTGGCCTAAAATGTCTGCCTGTGTCAAACGCTACGTAAAGGGGTGCCGTGAATGCCAGTGTCGCAAGACACCACATTTAAAGCATGCAGGTCATCTACAATCGATCGATCCACCACGTACACTGTTTGAACAAGTGGGGAAGGACCTCCTAGGCCCGTTTCCTTTGTCTTCTTCTTGCAACAAATAATTTATTGTCACAACCGATTATTTGACGCGTTACGCTGAGAGGAAGGCGTTGCCACGAGGGACCGCATCTGAAATTACCAGTTTTTTTATGCATCAAATTGTGCTACGGCATGGCACCCCGGCATATGTTATCGCTGATCGAGGGACATCATTCACAGCGAAACTCTTGGATGATATCTTCAGGTTGAGTTACACAACCCATCGAAAGACCACTGCGTATCACTCTCAGGGTAATGGTTTAACAGAAAGGCTAAACAAAACGCTAGCCGACATGATCTCTATGTACGTGGATGTGCAGCACAAAATGTGGGACGACATCCTGCCGTACGTAACATTTGCGTATAACACTGCAACGCAGGAAACTACAAGCTTCACGCCATTCCGACTGGTTTATGGTCGAGATGTTAGAACTATGCTGGACGCCATAATTCCATATGAGGACATCGACAAGCTCGACCAATTAGCCCCCGACACCAATGAGTACATTCAGCGCGCTGAGGAAGCACGTCAACTGGCCCGTGTGCACATCCGAACTCAACAGTGCGCAGATGCACGGCGGTACAACATCCACCATCGAGAAGTTAATTATGAACCTGTGATCAAGTTTGGGTTTGGGCACCCATTAGGCGGCGAGGTCTCAGTGAGAAACTCTTGAGGAAGTACTTTGGACCTTACAAAGTACTCAGACGTCTGAACGACGTGAACTACCAAGTGGTTCTAGACGGACGCTCACCATCATCCCAGCGCAGGTTACCACGCCCAGAGACTGTACACGTAGTCCACCTAAAACCATACTTTACGCGGTGTAGCGAATCTTCTTCTTGTGCCAGTGAACTCTTCATGTGAACAGTGAGTGCCGTTTATTTCCGATTGCCGGGCCCAGGACTTATTTTCTCTCGTACACTAACGTTTTTAATATTTTTATGTTACCTACTTCAACCCACTGCTGTGCGCACTTTTATTTGAGCATCGGGTCGATGCTCTCTTGGGAAGAGGAGTAATGCCAACTGGTGTTCTGTGCCAGTGAACAGTGGGTCAGTTCTGTGCCGGTGAACGAGGAAGATGAAGACGAGCAACCCGTGCCAGTGGAGACGTCCTTCTTTGTCTCTGAGATTTTTGACAGTCGCGTTCCTTTATACGTTCTTTCGAGCTCTTAGCGCGTGACAACATATATTAGTCGAACAACTTCAACGTAGACATTATGAACCTTAGGAGTTAGCTTCGCCCAATCGTCATCATTCACTTCGTAGAGATGCGTAGATTTTTGAAACCCTGCTTCCGAGGAAGAAGGCATGAAGAACGCGACTTGCCCGTGCTTGGATGGGCTGATATTCAGTCGTCAATCTTTGTTGTCTGTTCATGTCGCTGTACTATAAAGAAGGTTGAAGTATGTAAACTCAGTAATGATTTTCTAACGCGGTGATAAGCATGGTTCACTTTGTTTCTGGTTCCTTAATTAACTCGCTCTTGAGTACAACACATAACCGTCAGTGCCCTGTCTTTTGCGCGATATCCAGACTAGAGTAAATAAGTTTGATGGCCTTAGTCAGAAAACTCACGTTAAAAAGGAGGCGATGTCCTTCTTACTGCAGCTCGAAAACGCACAACTGTTCTTCCCATGTTTTCGGGGGCTGCTCATTATATAACCATTCTTGCCTGAGCAATCCTTCGCTGTTCTGTATCCATCGTGATCGGCATTCAGCCTGTAGAATATGGCACCATTGCCGTTAGCAATCGTCTTCAAAAAAAAAGTAGGGGGCAAATACTGTAGGCAATGCTCTATCGAATGGCTGGGTATTTTCATCTACATGTATATGCCATCAAAAGAAACGGCTGTAGCTCCGCGATACGTACTTCATTGGGTACTACAACAAATCAGATTTCAACTTTTGTTATGTATAGAATTCGTAAGCATGATCTTTAGTTTTTATACATCTTGTGATGTTCCGCAAACCACAAGATCCAACATAAATCTGTAAGCTAAGTCATTGTTAGCAAGTGGTGTCACGTAATGTTAAGCCATAAAAATATTTCCATTTATTGTTTGCAAAATTCAAACACAAAGGAAAAGGCAGATTCTGCGTGGCAGCTGCAGCAATTATCACGATGATGATGGCAATTATAATCAGAAAAATAAAAATATTAGGTGCCGCTCATTGCGTCATTTCTTAAAGGGACTGTCTACCACTCGTAAACTTTTTTCTGATTTTGGCGCAAATAAAACGATCGTTCGTCTAATCAGTGGCAACGAGCATGTTTTCATGCGAGAAAAAATGAATTGCAATTTCAACTTGATTTTGAAAGTCGATAAAAAGTGACCATGAGCGTCCCCCAACAGCAAATGTGGTCAATCTTGAAAGGCTACTGGTAGAACAAGAAATCATCGCAGGTAGACTTATTTTGCCTAAAAACAGACACGTTTACCTTGAAGTTGTTTTTTATGTACTTGAGGCACCTTTAGTCGCAGCAGAAGCCAATTTTTGGTGTGTGTTTTTTTCCTCACGCGTTCAAATAGGCACCCAGCGGCGCCGCCAGCGGTGTTTTCGCTTACCCCAATCCATACATACTGTCCAAGATAGATCCCGACACATACCCACCACAGTTCAGGCTCTGCGTCACTAAAACAGCCACCCTGTACCACATGGTATGAGAATGCCCACACAATCCACCTCTACAACCCAAAGCACAACACAACACTATAGGGTGGGAGGCAGCTCTGTCCAGCTCCGATCCGAAGACCAAACAGGCCCTCGTGAGACGAGCGAGGACAGCGGCCTGTGCCAATGGGATCCCGGACTAAGGATCCCACTGACCGACAATCCTTCTTCGGTCACAAATAAATGTTTTATTCTCTCTCTCTTGCCTGCATGCCTGCCTGCAAACAGCGGAGAAACGCGACCATGGCGTCCGCCGCCGCTTATAAGAACTTCAAAAAATGTTGTGTGTGCCTCAAATGACCACTAAGGTATTTGCTTTATTAATAACCAAACTTCATGAAGCCTGTAAAAACGACTTGCAGTTTCAGTTTTCGTCTTTTACAAGCACCGACCAGCTGTTGTAGGCATTAATCCCACTGATTGTAGGAGACATAACGGGGACAGAAAAATTTTGTTGTAAAAATTTCTACGCACTTTCCAGAGAAACGGCTGCAAGGTTAGACACATCTAACGCTTTTTATTGCCACACAAAACAGGAAAGCAATGAAGGACGGTAGACAGTCCCTTTAAACATGCCTATGACTTTTGTCTTGGCGCTGGCGCATACAAACAAGGCAAACAAAAGTAAACATTAAAATAAGAACAGGATTTATAACTGAAGTTGAAGGAAACTGTTTTGAATCTATTTGCGTTCTCTAGACGGTTGAATGTCGAAAGACACAAGTAATATAATGAACAGGACTACGCTATACTTTATTTTACGTGGATTTCTCTGTACACAACACAGCAGCTTAGAGCTCAAAATTCTGGTTTATTAAATATCAGTAAATGAGATAAATGATGTTAAGTTGCGCGAGTGCCAGGTAGGGCCATAAAATTTCGGAGAAATGAAATCGGCTTTATGGGATAATTTACAATTTAAATTTAACTGTCAGATAATGCATCAGCATGAAGATATAAATGTACTGTTCAGCTTATGGTCAGCCTAACCTATATGACCACAGCAGTACGAACTATCCAGGACCTATATGTTCTGTTTGACTCTGCTATTCGATCGTCAACATCCCAGCCCACAATGCTTTCACATCTGACGCGAGGCAGTCACATCGAAGGACATGCACTTATTTCATTTATTCGGTATTTTATGCATGTATTTGCGTGCTTCTTATTCTAATGGGTCTCATGAAAACTTGTGTGTACTAAATAACAATGTACATACGAAGGACAGTGTGAATTCTCTATGAGTTCTCAATATTATTTTGTATATGTAAGCACGCCTACAGCCGTCACCGTCATCGTGGATGTCATCCTTCTCAGGCTGTGTTTATGCCCAGTGCAAGGCGAAGACCTCTTCTAAGATATGGCCATGTGTTGCGCCAGCTTATTCTATTAATCCCTGTGAAATGCTCAATTTTCTTTTACCTAATTTAACTTGCTACCATTCTTGCCATTTTTTCCTTCCGGTGGTACCCACTTTGTTGTTTTGAATGGCTTCCGGGTGTAAATCTTACCCCTTACATGTCCGGCCCAGCTCCACTTCTTTCTGAAAGTCAACTAGAATATGACCAACACCCGTTTCTTTTTTATCCGTTTAACTCTCTTTAGATTGCTTATTGTTACGCCTACCATTTGCCTTTTCATTGCGCGCTGCGTAGTGCTTCACATGGCGTTGTTTTTTGTTAGCCTGCAAAATTCAACTACTACGTTCAAAGCGCAAGTAAGCAATGATAGTACATTTCTGAGGTTAGGACTGTTAATTTACTCTCCAATTAGTACGCGTGTTTCTGGTGGGCTACTACCTCTGCTATGTTTCGACTCAGAAAACACAGTACATTCTCAGTCAGGTGCCGGATCACGAACGGCATATGGGCGGTGCGCCCCTACTGCCTATAGCCGGTAAGAGCGGGCGCAAGAAAGAAAAAAAAAAGGAGAGAGCCACCGCCTCTGTCACGCCAGCCTGGCACCTGGAGCCGGCATCAGCTTACGCAGACCCGTTCAACGACGGGCGCAAGCGGAAAAAAGAGAAAAAAAAGAAAAGAAAAACAAAACGCCGCCTTCCCCTCCTCGCCCGTATCTTGCCACGAAAAATTTGACTTAAAATCCCGGTTAATTCTTGTCCCGGCTATTCTGAAGGTCACTTCAAATCTGAGCGCTTTCTCAGGGACACGGCTACGGAGCCGCGTAGAAGCGGCCATAATTTGACTTGATTTCCTGCCTGCGGGCGTGTAGTCTAGTCAGGATCCGACTAAGACTGTACGTATGATGAGTTGCGTTTAAAACGTTAAAGCACTTACAGATGAGCGATTTCGTGAGCCGTTGTCTGCACACCGGAGAATGTGGCAGGACGGTCGAATCCTATGGCAACTTTGCCAAACATGCAGGCTCTGGCCATATTTGCCATCCCTGGGATCAAATAGTTACGAGGTGACTTAAAATAAACACAAAAAATAATATGGGTCATTTTTACGTGTAACTAAAAGAGTTCAATTTCAATATGCTAGCAACGCGGGCTTGTTGGTACGTACACACGGTTCTTTTTTTTTTGAACTTAGTGCTGGCTCTCAGCAAAGGGCCTATTGAGGAATGACTTTTGGGACGTCCAACTTCACATGTGAATTACCTAATATTGAGGAATGCGATACGGTGGCGGAAAACATTCATTTACTTTAGAAGTAAATCGCGTAGTCGCAAGGTTATAAACGCATCAAATGAGAGGCGAGGGTGGAGGCAGTGGGCTTTGCCTTAATTGCGCTTCTATAGCTCATAAAAGTTGGCAACCTAATGCTTAATTCGACTGGCTTGTTCCACTCTGCAAAACGCGAAAATGATAGTTTTACAAGTGGTGGTGTTTATTTTTGTTTTTTTAAATACAAACGTATTACAAAACAGAATCCCAGATCCAACGGAGACATGATACTCCTATGATGATTTCAAAAAAAGTTCGATTCTCAATTTTATAAGAGTAACCAGTTCTGGAAAATACATAGAAAAGAAGTGTGTTGTACAGTTGCTACTTACCTAAAGTACTGCCTTGGTTCGTCCCGTTTTTAATTTTAACCAGACCGGCACTAAGCAAAACGATAAGCATAGTATGCAACACATGATCACAGCAATCAATTTTCTGCCTCATAACATAACAAATAAAATGTCTTTTATGAGCGTTAAATGCTTTTTATATATAACAGCTATTATGGCAACACCCAACTAAAAACATGGTCATGCTCGATGTATTTAATTGACCTGATTGCCCTTTCTTACAGTTACTGCTTACAAGTAGTAACGCATCAATCAGTATCAATGGGGCTCCACAATGTTTTCTATTCTACAAACCAGGTGCTATATGAATACCAAGCCATGCTCCACACTAGTAGGTGGACCGCGACTCTCCGGAATCGAAGGCGCCAGAAGCCCTAGAAGAAGCACAACTAAAGTTTATTACCTTTCTCTCCTTATATACGTGCGAATTCGGACTGCAATGCATTATTCGGTGATCGTTCATTGCAAGCAAGAGGCTTTACATAAATCACAGTAGTAATAATAAGCACGCTCATCATTCAATATGAGCTATCAGGTGAAGTAGTTTTCGTAAATACTGTCAATATCTCTTGTCCTCATCCTACACTCTTGAAGCCTGCTCACTTCGTCTAATTATGTCCCCTTCGATACAGAAATCGAGTCTAGGAGACGTTTGACTGAGCAGCACGTCAATCAATCGGTAATAGCATTTTCTTCTTACCTTATATGATGAAGATCACAAAAGCGGCACAAAGTTCAATAAAACATATGGCATGCAGTTTATCAAATAAGCCTAATTTATGAAGAACTCTGAAAAAGATCGGTTTTTCTCCACGTTACCGTCTCTGTGCTCTAAATGGTTCGGCAAACGTATTTCATAATTACCTGACTGCCAAATAGACGACATCGGCCAGCTTGTGTACTTTACTATTGTTTGCATGTTTCCCTAATGCAGCCAACGTTTGATATATCATAACGCGTCCATCTTGATGTAGATTTATATATGGTGGTGTTTCCTGAAAACGAGACAATCTTGTCGTCATCAACGTACGAAGAAATTGCAACGGCTTTCTCAGTACCTTCAATCCTTCGATAGTTGTTAACCCTATGCGAGCGGGTGGTTCGAGCTGTTGCAAACGAAGGCTCACCTGCGAACGTTAAAGTGAAGAAATCTGTGCGTTAATTCATAGCGATAAATTAAGTAATTTAAGTAAAGATGTAAAGATGTGAAATAATACCAGTGTGGTGTCCTATCACAGCCAAAGGCGCTTTCAGTACAAAAAAACTTTATGTTATCCAGTACTGATTCATCAGTAAGAGATAACATATCTAGGCCTAGGATGTCATAATGGCGTACGTATATAATCGTTCCGAAGTGGGAAAAGATAAAAACTTTTTTTCATGGTAATAGAATGATTCCCATATGTCCCCTATTATCCAATAGACATTTTATTTGTAAATGTGCGAAGTTACTAAGATATGCATTAACGGTACCATGACGCTGCCTTTCGGACAGTTAAATACTTAGAGGCAAGGTCTGTTACTATAGAAAAGAAATAGGAATTTGCGTTCCCCCAGCGCATTTTTTCATCAAAAACATTCCTTGAGCAGCCCATCATTGGCAATGCCTAAAATACCGGTGCTCCTCTAGTATAAGAGACAGATATATCTTTTTAAATCATCGTATAAAGACTAAGTTAAAATATTTTCTTAGTTTATGCTAAGAACTTGCTCTTTCAGAAATCTGTAGTGCGCTAAATAGAAAATAGAAAACGAACGCTTAAATTTCATTTTTCATTTTAGCACCATACATTCATGCCTGAGGGTCACTGCGAAGTCACAAATTTGAAGTATTTTTGGGTTCTTTAATTCATATTGGCTCAACTAAACTCTGAAACTTAGTGCGTGAAGGCTGTGAGTCACGCAAAACACTACGTATATAAGGTTTACTTTAATGAGTTTTGTAACCACTAGTGGGTGCCATAATAATCTTTGATGTGACAAGGAGTTCTTGCGGATACTTCAATATAGCGTCGCCGCCTGTGGTTTCCTTTCGTGCTTTTTCGCTCTTACCGAACGTGACCTCGTCGTACTAGCTTTAAGTTTAGCTGTGTTGTAATTGACTCACACGAAAATTTGTATTTCTCGTTAAGGTCTGCCTGTCATAATAAGTGGAATCGGAACGATTTTGCACGAATAAACAAATTAATTCGCTTTAATATCATTCGTCAACTAAATACTATCAACGCCTTAGCATGAGCAGTTCGCTACGTATATTCTATGAGCACGTAAAATAGCATAATATTTCATACAAGGCATTAAACTAAAAGCACTCAATGCAGGAGATTTACTTGGCGAAGTTCCGTGCAGTGGTGCGACGACATTGGCATGAATCATGTCACATAGCATCTGAGCTTGATAAAAAAGAACCTGCTGTTGCTGGGGGAGTTGGGAACGTCGCAGCAACAGAAACAGTCCCAAATACTGTCGCTACAGTGTGGTTATTGAAAATCCCGCTATAGCCTCGAGCACAGACTACTCCTACAAACTTAATTTTTTGCAAGTGCGAGGCAGTTCTGCAGGCCGAGTTCTTTTATGCTGTCTTACGCTGTCATCGGCGGACCTAGCTTGGCCTAAAGCTGAGAAGAATACTGATAGCAATGGTATCATATCATATTGAGCGCCTACTCGCGCTTACGCCAAAAAGAAGTAAACTTGCTTTGCAGTACGACCACTTTGATGAAAATACGTGCGATGCACTTTTGGGTTCCATGCTATCGTGAAAAATAGAAAAGAGAAAAGAAGCCAGTGATAAATAGAAAGTGAGAAAAATAAAGGGGTGAATAAAAATAAAATATGAAAGAGGACAAAAGAAAAGAGATAAACACGTTGAGATCTCGAGCAAGTATTAATTCGCCTCAAATATATACCAAGATTGAAAAAATGCAAAAAAAAGAAACGAGAGCGCGAGGAAAGAAATAAGGCTGCCTTGTTTCGTACTTCTTTAAACATAGTGCGAAGATGCCTAATTTTTAAAATAATATTCTAAGATAGTCGACTTCGTAAGTTCTAGTTTGCGGCATCATTAGGTGAAGTGGTACGAAATATGTACGTTTTGCAACTCATCCGAAAAAATGCCATCCGGAAACTTAGCCCTTATACGAGTATAACTATGTTTACGTCGGTTAGTTTGCCTGTGTAGCACCGGTATAAAGATGTCACTGCCTTTTAGTTTATGTTAAAGATGCGCCAGCTTCGCCTACTGAGAAAACACCCCGTCAATTTTCCTCTCTTCTCTTACCGCGTGCATAAAGAGCATAGCATAGGCAACTCGGTCTTCAGTTCCGTTGCCGAAGTAGCTGGTGTGCTTGAGACCAGTGATGAAGTGCGTCTCCACCGTATAAAATTTTGGGAGAGCTCGGTTTTCTGTAAACAAGAAAGCAGCACAAAGAGCGTTTTTGGCGTAGAACTCCTTACTAGATATAGGTAAAGACTTACTGATTTTTTGGTAGCGTTGTTCATTTTTAAAACTGTTATCTGAAAAATACAAGGCGGACAAGTATCGCTACAAATGTTCATCTTGCGCATGAATGGCGCTGTTATTGTCGGGATATTTTGTGTCGAAGAAACCGCAAGAAAGATGTCACAACAAACTTGTCGTACAAATGGCCTTGTTAAATGGTATATGCCATATCTTTACAAAAACAAATTTCTTACCAGAATATGGTCTTGATGAGTAATATGGGCTTGAAGCACAGGTTTGAAAACTTTGACATTCCTCAAAGAAAAATGCACTCAGTCTAACTGCTAACTCCTTCCCCACATTTTCACTACTTTTGGCGAAGGTTGTTGTGCTTCGTTGCTGGTTCATTAACAAGCGTGACTGGAAGAAATTCCAGAATCATTCAAAGCTTTCCATTGACTGACGCCCCGCCGTGGTGAACTAGTGGTTAGGGTATTCGGCTGCTGAACCGCAAGTCACGGGATCAAACCCCGGCGGTGGCGGCTGCATTTCCGATGGAGGCGGGAATTTTGTAGGCCCGTGTGCTCAAATTTGGGTGCACGTTAAAAAATGCCGCCATATCCACGAAGTGAATGATGATGAGTGGGCGAAGCTCCGGAGGTAAACCTGGTAAACCATGAATCCTCCGTACATTTTGCCCACTCCATTTTATTGCAACGCTCCCCCTAGCGTACGTCGCCGCACTATATCGAACGATGACACGCGCCATATGTGGCATCATTCCTATTTTATAACACCTCGCATCTTTCATAATCAAAAACACGTACCGCCGTCTAGTTTATAACATCTTGCATCTTTTGGACGGACGGACGGATGGATGGACGGATGGACTTATGGATGGATGAACGGACGGACGGACGGATGGACGGACGGAATGATGGACGGATGGATGGACGGACGGACGAATGGACGGATGGATGGATGGATGGATGGATGAATGGATGGATGGATAGATGGATGGATGGACGGATGGACGGATAGACGGACGGACGGACGGACGGACGGATGGATATGGCTGTACCCTTTAGATCGGGCGGTGGCTAGCGTAATACTTAGAACTGAACGAGAGGTGGCTACATACAGGGGACGCACAGCCCACGCCTTAAGGAGCTTCGCTCCTAAAAACGCCAGGAGGTCGAAATTTCCGGAGCCCTCCACTATGGTGTCTCTCATGATTGTATGGTGGTTTAGGGACGTTAAACCTCACATATGTATCAATGACTCCTACGCCACGCAAGGCAATGCAGCACCATCTCGAACATTTCACAAATGCTCCTCCTACTTGCACTTTACCATCTCTTGGTCGCTACAACTGAAGGGGACAAACAACCCGACGGAAGTCGCCGCAAACGACATGTACATCGACTGAGGGAACAAGTATAAAGTCGAGAAATGTCATTAAAAGTTGTGTCGTGTTGCCTACCAGTTTGTGAATCACCCTAACAAGGTTCTTCTCCGTGCCGGGAAAACCATGCATGCTTCCCACAAACATTAACGGTTTCGTAAACGCAGCAGCGGAAACTCTACCAACACAAATCACTGCATGACAATGCTACGCCCTTTCTTAGGTGTTCAACTAGAGCCGTATTAGCTTTCTTTTTTTCTTCAAGGTATGTGGAGGGGAAGGGGGCTATATCAGCACTGTGCATTCAAATAATAATCTTGTATTCATTAAATAATGTTCTCACTCTCTCACACACACATGCGCACGCACACGAGGCAAGGGGAGACTACGAAAAGCTTGCAGCTTACCGACGTTATTCACGACGTCATATGTCCCAGGTGTGACGTCAATTAATGATAGTCGGTGCGCCAATCTTTCCTGTGATGACCGTTCCCAAGTCTCGCCAGGTTCGATCCTGTGAGTGTAGTTCACCATACCTGTCTGATTAAAAAATATATATAATGGAATCTTCTACTAAGCCACGGAAGCCTTGAAAAAGCGAAACTGGAGAATTTAAAAACTAATCTAGTTGTTTCTTGATTCCTTGTAGGCTTTAGCTGGGTGAGGCAGGTTGTTTATACGTTGCTATTGCATCGTTGCTAGGCTTTAGCTCGGTGGTGATAAGTTGTTTCTAAGTTGGTTCTCAGCACACGGAAGCTCGAGTTACGCCACAGGTAGTCACAGACACGACATGGACACGATGGCCGTTGGTGTTGGCCTTTTATCGAATTGCGGTCTTCTCGCGGTCACAGTTGCCCTTCGTGTTTTTCTAGTATTCTCTCGTTGTACGTACTCGGATCTTCGGGTATTTGGCGTGCCACCATTGCTTCGCAGTCGTTTGTCGGGCCAACTGTTGTCTTTTTGCTTCAGTATGAGCAGCCTTAGACTTACGTTCACGGCTGGCATCTTCGAAGTACACGCGTCTTCGCCGCCTCTGGTTCTAGGCAGCTCTGACTGCGTATACTGTTGATCGGCTTGACGTTGACGCTGACCATTCTGCATAG